TAACTTTAACACTGCTTGAGTGTTACTTTAACACTCTTTTAGAGTGGGACCATATATGCTCCGAGCGGTGTTAATTTAACACTCGGGATTTTACTGTGTAGAAAAATAAATAAAAAGTGCTATCAAATTAATATTTATTTTGTAATAAATATTTTGTTTATTTGTTTGCCAATGAATCACACCACTATATATAAAAGGAACAATTACACTTAACAGAGTAAATAACTAATTTTAGCTTAACTGGTTTTAGCTTGGCACTAGTGATGGGCTCTTTCGAAGCACTGATTTGTGAAGCTTTGAAATTTTTGTGAATCATTTGCTTTGAACCAGCTGTTCAGAGCATGTATCAAACCAAAGTTTGGAGGAAAATGTTTTATTCTCATGTATATTCTATAATTATTTGGTAACACTTTATTTTGATGGTCCCTTTTGAACATTCTGTTGACAATAAGCAATACTGCACCTATACAGGATTGGTGGACTGTCTGCTGAATATCTGCTAGCTCTTTATTGCAGAGGTGGGGCTTTCAAGTCACAAGCAAGTCTTCAAGTCATATCCCAAGTCCTCAAAGAGTTAAAGTTAATGAGATAATTAAGTGACTAATTAAACGATGATTGTGCATTAGTGATGAACACCTGCTGTTAACAATCAACATCATTAAGAAAAGAGAAACACAAGAACTACATCTGACTTTAGCCACAGCCTTAGATGAAATCAACTGAAAAAAACCAACAACAAAAAAACACACATACACGCAATGTCACCATAATTGTGGTCAAGGTTTGCTTTAGTTGGCCTCTTGACACTTTCATTAATTCCAAAATTATTTGTTTTTAAGCAATTACAATGTTGTTTCAGAGCAAATGTTCATGCACTGCTGAATCAAAACCTCGAAGTAGCAGATGAGCTTACACTTTCTGCATATAACTCATGATGAATGAACTTACGTAAATCAAGTTTATTGACTGACCTTCAACTACTGAACTGAAAGAAAGAAATCCCACTAAACAAATGCCTCCGTAATGCTTTGATATTTAAAAAAAAAGAGAAAGCCATATTAGCTCAGGCTTTTAGACATGAACACTTATCATATGATCCTCAACAGTGGTGACAATAATTATTCATATTGCAGTGCATGATGAGAGTTTTTACTATGGTGTTACCCAGCATGCATTGCAGCATGAAACGTTTAGTTGATTGTCACCATTGTTGAGATTCATATGCTGGTTCTTGATGTCTGTGTGTGTCGAAATATCGCCGGCATAAAAATTTGTATATGCATAGATTTAAAATATATTTTCTGTAACTATTAGAGCGGTGCTTTGTTTGCATGCCATAGTTTCACAGAACTGATTATACAAAACCTAAACTTATAAACAAAAAAAGTTAATTTTATTCTAATCAGGCCAGCTCATGATGACTTCCTCATCATGTAAAGACAGCTAATAGATGCATAGCACTGATTTCTCTGCTTTACAACACCTCATGCATTGTTACAGAGAAAAACATCTTAAGGACACGTGTGTTGAAATCTATAGCTGTGGCACTGATATCGCACTGTGGATTCGTGGTGGACAGCCAACAGTACAGGATGGAGTCGTCACTCGAGATGTCTGTGGTTACGCTGGCAGTTACTGCTGCTATTACGGGTCTTACCCAATTAAAGTCAAAGCCTGTCCAGGAAATTATTATGTCTATGAGTTGATTAGACCAACTCTGTGCAATTTAGCATACTGTGCAGGTGATTATATTCACATGAGCTCTTGCTACACACTCATGATATTTGTGTCTCTGTTCATTAATCACTATTCATCCAAACATTCAGATGTTGGCAGCGTTAACACCAGCTCTACATCCGTCATACCAGCGACCATCTCAACTGGTAATGTAACACACTGTTACTCTAACGGCTTATTTTCTGGCTTGATGTACGTGCAGATCTGTACTATAGAGCAGATGTGTAAGGGAGTGTGCTTGTCTATTGAAGTCACGTTTTATACAATAGAGATGCAGCTTAGACATTATTAATTCAGTACAGTCTGACTATTTCTATTGATTCCACTTCTATTATCTGGCTGTGTTTTGGATTTGTACAGAGGATGCATCTGAAGTGGCCGATAGAACAAAACGAGACTTTAAAAAGACTTAACATAATGGATGTCATGTGACATTTTTCAGCTTCTTGAGGCCTAAAATGACTGAAGTTGTGATGATATCTGTGCCATTTTTTGTTTCAGTTTCACTACTATCTAATTTAGTGTATTCAGTGAATGAGAGCCAATGGTCTTTTCTTTCTGATATTTATATGAAAATCAAGGGTGAGTCTCAAATGTTATTTTGAAGTGCCACTGCAGAGTGAGTTTGGTTAGTTAATATTAATAAACCAGGTAGCAGAAATGCTTTATGTAGAAAATAATCCATGTAATGAGGGTGCAGGACTCTTTTATTACACTAGCAAGAAATCTGGAAAAGGAGGTTGAGAAAATGCATTAAGTTCAGACCCTGTTCAGAAGCTGCGCACCTCTCATAAACCTGCATACAAGCGGGTGCTGACTGTGTAGCTTCTGATGCCGTGATGAACTCAGAAAGGTTTGAGTTAAATCTGTTTTTTTTTTTTTTACTATTTCACTTAATTTTCAGTTGAGTTTCAGATACACAAAGTAGAGCGGTGTTTGGTTTAATTTATGTCAAGAAAATATTCTTTGCTTAGTTGACTCAAATTAAGTAAGTTCACAGTGATAATGTAATCAAGTTATTAACACAGCATATATATATATATATATATATATACATATATATACATTTGTGCTTTGTGGTTTAAGCCAATTTACAATGAAATTACTGTTTTTGCTGTATTTTTTAAATAAGATTATCTATGCCTTTAATTCAACAGTACTTTTCTATGTAACAGACATTTCCTCTAATGCCAGAAAATTACAGTTCTTTCTGTACTGGACCATCCATGGAGAGCCATAAATAATACAGATCCTTCAGTCATAATGTGTGACAGGTCTGTCACCTGGAGCGGCTGGTATCGTCTCTTCATTAACAACATGAGTGCTCAGATCCCAGACATATGTGTTGCACGGAGTAGCTGTGGCACTACTGTCCCACTGTGGATTCGTGGTGGACACCCAACAGTACAGGATGGAGTCGTCAATCGAGATGTCTGCGGTCACTTTGACAATTACTGCTGCCATATCGGGTCTTTTCCCATTAAAGTCAAAGCCTGTCCAGGCAATTATTATGTCTATGAGCTGGTTAGACCAACTGTCTGCTATTCAGCATACTGTGCAGGTAGTTATATTTACATCAGATCTTTTTATTATTTGTGTGATTGCTGATTCATTAATATTCATCAGTCATTATTTATTTCAGCTGTTACTAACATCAGCAGCACTCATACAACAGTTACACCAGAGACGAGCTCAGCTGGTAATGTAGTCTGGTGTTTCCTCTGTTGATTGTGTTTTGACTGAATGTTTGTGGATCTGTAGAAATTAACAGGTGTGTGAGTGTCTCTAGTAGTACTGTCAATCGATTAAAACAAATGAAAGAATTAATTGCATATTTTTTTCTGAAATGAATCGCGATTAATCCCACATATCATTAAAGTTTTTAAATATACTTTTATATTGCAATAATTTCACATTCAATCTGTAAATTAATGTAGAAACAACAAAGACAGTACATTTTCAATATTTGTTTAATGGCCTCTTTTTTTTATGACTGAAGACGAATATCACTGTTACCAATATTACTGATGTATCTAGGAATTTTTTTTTTTCCCATAATATTTAACCATTGACTGTAGTCATTCAACAAACAGTATAATTGAGAGCTATCAATTTTAACATTTATTAGACTTAAAAAAAATATTTATAACTTCACAAAGTCATTATAATAAATATAGCTACCAGTGCCCTTCAGCAAGTAGAAAATTAAATATACACTCTAAAAAACGCTGGGTTATTTTTTCAACCCAATCTCTGTGTTAACCCTGTTGGGTCATTATGTTGGGTTATTTTTTCTAGTGTTGGGTAGTTTTTGTGTAACCCAGCTGTTGGGTTAGTGGCTGGGTCAATCTCACTGACCGCTGAAACTATACGCCCCTCCCCCTCCCTCTAACGAAACAACCCAGCGCGGGTTTACTTTAGCTGTTGGGTTACAGTCAGAGCGCGGGCTTTTCATCTTCTTCAGGAGAGAGCCAGTACACTCTAAAAAATGTTGGGTATTTTTTTCTACCCAACCGCTGGGTTAAGCCTGTTGGGTCATTTTATTGGGTTATTTTCTCAGTGTTGGGTAGTTTTTTGTGTAACCCAGCCGCTGGGTTACCAGTTGGGTCAATTTTAGTGACAGTTGACACAGTGAACCCCTCCCCCTCCTCGACGTCTCAACTCTACCTTCTCGGGCATTTTGAATCGCCTCAGGAGTCATCGTTTTTCAGCGAGGACAGCTGTTATTCGGAGAAAAAAAGGTATGTTTGTGTGTTTTTTTATCTATAAAACTATTACTGTACACCAGAAAATGCAAAAGTATGCAAAATAAGGCAGTTCACTTGACATTAACAGTTTTAAAAAGTAACTCCTTGCTTCGTTAGCTTTGTTTTGCTAGTATGTAGGCCCATCTTGTAATACAGCTTTTTCATGCCTTTTAAATAAATCAAAGGTCTCCTCTGGCCAACATTTCCTTTGAAATATGTGACTTATGTGAGACATTTAGTTGGTTTAAGGTCGATATATAGACACCTGACGCGAGTGTCGTGTCATAACGCAAACATATATATGCAGTATATATATATATATATATATGTATAGTATATATGCTCTGGGCCTCACACCAGGGACCCGCCCAGAGTCGGTGGTTCTGTTAGGTTTTGAGAAGATGTGAACTCCAACACTCCAGGACATCCTTAAGTACGTGCCAGGCTTCGGCCTTGACTTTTCCATTCATCAAGATTCTCTGACGCAAACTGGTTCTTTTTCATCAACCAACTTCAGCAAAGATCAACTTGAACCGT